TGCGATCAAACTGGGTCTGGGTGTTCTAACACAAGAAATACTACTGGAGAGTGATGTTTTCGAGATCGACGGATAGTCTAAATCCAGATAAAACAGACTACCATGTACATCGATCTTGACGTCGGTGACGATATTATAGTGCTCAGTAAGCTGAACTGGATGGCGAAAACCACAAGTCTCTAGCCTTGTTAGAAAAAGAGCTATAGCCATTTTACCTTCGCAGCAGAAAAATGCATTTTCGTCATTTTTGAGCGGATTTGACCTAACTTCTAGAATGTCAGCTGACCGCATTCCCTAATTTAGAACCTTGAAGTTGGTATCAAATGAAAGAGCGCGTCGAGTTCTATATATTTCGATAGAGAAAAGCTATGCTGTACCTCGGAGTCTTGAGATAGAGCTTTCTAGAAAACCTGGTGATCTTAAAGTTTCTCTTAGAAGCTTTTCAACCTATCACTGGATAGCCTTTTCAATTCTCCTTAAAATGAGATGCTGGTCAAGCTTCTATGACGTTGTCTCACACAGATCTAAAACGGCATTAACGCGACTAAATTTATATTCATAATGTTAAAAAGTCTGTAACTCGGTGGTTCGCGATCGTAGAAACTTGGCCAGCATCTTATTTTAAGGAAAATCGAAGGGACTATCCAATGATATGGTTGAAAAGCTTCTGAGAGAAACTTTAAGATCACTAGGTTTTTTAGAAAGCCAACGCTAGTATTTCTTGTGTTAGAACACCCAGACCCAGTTTGATCGCAACATTTTATATATCATTTTGTAGCCCCTGAAATTCTCTATCGAGTGATATACAGTAGTTCAGGTTTGCTTTGAGCAAAGAGAAGAAATGAGGAAAATACTCTAAATAAAGTTCATTTAAGGGGAGAAAAGTTTGGATGCGAAATGTTTTCCAGGGGGAATGAAAATGGTTTTTTTGAGGTGCTAGTTTTAATCACGGAGAAAAACTACATCAGACCTGTGAATATGAGCTTGATCTGAGAGGGGGTCGATTTTGCTTCTTATCGATCCCCGTCCTTTATCCCCAGTTAGATGTACGGCCATTTACAAGAAAAGAAAAAATCTTAAACCCAATCAAAAATTATGTGCGGGAAAAACCTGGAGACATTTCGTGTGTAATTGGTCGATGCGTGAGTAGTTGTTATCTAGATTACTAGTTGAAAAAGGGATAAATACAATAATGCAATAATTTCTAGACACGATATCATACAGCTCAAAAACACTTTGACAAAGCTATTTGGTGGGGCTTCACTTGAGTGCGTCTCACTTGGGTGCGGTCCCGTTTTAGTGCGTCTCATTTGAGCACATTCTCATTTTAGTGTCTTACTTTAGTGCGTCTTATTTGGATGCGTTTTCAATTATCCAACTCATTCCTCAAAATATTTTGAAACTTTTGAATTGTTTCCGTCACTACTGTTTGGGATCAACTCTCAGTGGTTAGTAATCATTTATAGTAAAAGGAGAAACAGCGTAGCTTACAATATTTTTGAACAGCATCAACCATAAAATCTTCAAAATATCGGTCGGCAGCAAGAGTATGCTATAAGGCCTGATTGATATCGAAAGGTTCTCTCTTACCCGAACTTTGAACTTATAAGAAATTTTCTCCTGTACACAATTTTCCATATTTATCCAGAATACAAAGTTTTCGTAACGATGTTGGTGGCGGTGGTTCCTTCCTTTTTTATCTTGGATCTCGGCCGTGCGAATGTGGAGTTCCTTTAAGAAGACGCGCGTTTTATAGATTTTAGCTTCTTTATCATTATAATAATAGTTACTTACTCACATCTGGTTTTGTATAATCTTTAAGAGTGTTAAGACGACCAGAACAATCATATTCCCAACGTTTCCACGAGATCAATTCTTTTTGATGGCGTTCAATTCTATGTCCTTCAAGTTGAGATGCTGGTTTACCATGGTCTGTTTTGGATATTTCAATTTTAGTCAGAAACAATTCAAAAGTTTCAAAATATTTTGAGGAATGAGTTGTGTAACTGAAAACGCACCCAAATAAGACGCACTAAAGTAAGACACTAAAATGAGAATGTGCTCAAACGAGACGCACTAAAACGGGAGCACACCCAAATGAGACGCGCTAAAATGAGAACGCACTCATATGCCACACACACACCCGTCTGCACTATAGAATTGTGTCTAACGCTTTCTTATCTTGAGTAACTTGATCAATTTATTGTGTGCCTAGTTAAAATTAAGATAAACTCGATTTTATTCTTTTATCTTTCGACCGTTACATCTTGGTTAACTCATGTTTATTTATACAAAATAAATAGTACAAGAAATTGAGAGACAAGTAGATGAAAAAAGATATTCGAAAAGAACAAATGATGAGAAAAATTTTTTGTTCTACAATAGCAGATAAAACAACTTTATACTTAAATTTTATGTATTATTAAAAAATATAAAATATGCAAAAAATACAAAACAAAGATGGTGAGACACAAGAAAGAATAACTTATAGCACCATAAAGCAGAGAAAGGATGGAAAAAATAATAATAACTTAACGACCAAACATCCGTGATTTATTAATAACGAAAACGTTTTCTAAGACAATTTTGATGAACGATATAAACTAATTAAACGGTTAGAAGTTCGTTGACAATCACGTTGTAATTCAGTATCGACTACAGGTTGAATATCAAGTAAGACCTAAATAATAGAATAGAAAGAAGAGATAACAGCATTACACAAAATTTAAGAATATCAATAAAATCTCAGTCCTTTCAAGAGATAATCATCATTATATGCAAACAATAATCATTGATTTTTTATTTTAGAAAGTAGTCAAACAACGTTAAGATAATAAATATGAACTGTTCTTAAACATACCTGATATACATTTGATACTGCTTTTTGTATACTCTCCATAAATTCTAACATTTCTTCACAAAATAAGAAATAGAATATCCAATATTTAGAATTTTGACTTTTTCCTTGTTCAATTTCCTTTATAAACAAAATCTTAACATAATATGTCGTCTAATTCTTTATATGGTGAGAAAAAGACTTACCAGTATACAATAATATTTACAATTGGCATCAATGTATAATCTAACAATATAATCTAATTTAATAGTGTCTAAAAATCGCACAAATAAACTATCTTGTTCTTCATGACATACATAAAGTTTTTCATCTGTTAATATTGCACTGCAAGGAACTGTATTAGAACTCATATCATCTTTGAAAGCTAAACGCTAAAATAAAATAAAAAGGATAAATATAACTAACATTGGCAGTTGATCGGATAGCTTACACCCTGAGATATTGCTTTCATTATAGCATTAAGCCATTCATCTTGTTCAATTTTTGTTTTTGCCGCTAATAGCAATGTGACATCATTGGTAAACATAATTTCAACGGTGAACGGACGATCAGACGTACGATTTCGACGACAACCTTGACAATTTTCATCTCTAAAAAATATTACTTTTATGCTATCTTTATGTAACACTATCTTATAGTTTATGTAACACTTACAATAATGCATACGATAAAACTGGTTCCTTATCTGACTTGGATGTGTATATATTGAGCCGATCAGCTCTAGAAATATCAAAAGAATTGATTGACAATTATAAAAGATGTATACAATTGATCGCTGTTATAAGTACCTTAATGTCACGTATGTAGCTTTCCATGTTTCGAATGTTTTTTGTTTAACTGCTAGGCGAGCCAAACGTTGCATCGGCGGTGATGATACACGCGTATAAAGTAGACCTTCTTTGCGAAGATTTTTTCCCGTTAATTGTGGTTCCTCCCAAAATGTAAGACTATAGCGCAAAAGTGAAACATCACTCGGTGCCTATTAAAGAAAAAATCAACAGAGATCTATATTATGAACAAGACAAGCATTTTACTGTGTACTAATACTTACAGATCTCTTTAAATCAATTGCTAAAAATTTTTTAATAGATATTTCCTGCATATTGGCTGCTGATATTTTCGGTGACACATATCTCCCAACAGCAGTAGCAAATGAGATAGCATTACAAATTGCTCTAAAAATAAAAAAGTTTACATAAGTTATAAAATTGTTCCAATTTATTAGAAAAATATAGTATAAAATAGCTGTGTATATGACTTACTTGGTTAATTTTGAAGATCCGGTTGTCCAGCTGGGCAATTTGTAGCGTCGAGTTGTAATTAATCGAAGATATTGTTCATTTGGTCCACACTAGAAATACGTCGTTTTTTTTAAACTTCATGTTCTTACACTTAAAAGTTCAATGAAAATTGTCGAATAATTTACTTCTATTAATTCAATTTGTTCTAAGCGAACGCTTTCTAATTTTTCTATTTTCAATGATCCATTGACTTCTAATTGTTTTCTTAAAACGTAAACGTTTAGTGATGTTATCAAGATATATACAAGTTCCAAATTTCCTTGATTATGTCCGATTGTAGTGCAAAAAAGCTAGAATGAATAAACGAACTTAGCTTCATTCAGATAAAAGTAAATAAAGTCTGTTAACAAACCTTAATAAATTCCTCTCCATCATTTGGCATCTCGTACACTTCTAGCATGAAGTGTAGCTGAAGATTGGCGTCTGCACTATAAAAAAAAGAGTATAAAAAAAGAAATAAAAAAATTACTCATTTTACAGTAATTTTACAGTACTTATACATGATCTTTATCTACCTCAGTTCTATTGGATCAATATCATCAATTTTTTGTAACAAATCATGATTATTTTGTCTAATTTGATTTTCATCTTCTAATCCACCATTTTCAGAATAACCATCAACTACAAAATCTGTCGTCTCATCATTTATTGATAAATTATCATTTGCCAACGTTGGTGTTTCAAGTGAACTCTGATTATCAAAATTATTTGTGTATTCAACTGGAGTATTTTTGTGTTCTAAACTAATATGCTCTTCTGTACTTTTGTTCTGCTCTAGTAATGGTTGTTGTTGCTGTTGATAATCCTCACTGACAGAACGTTGTCGAACCATAAATGGATCAACTTCGCTTAAACTAGAACTAAGCGGTGTGATTGTTATTGTTGTTTGATTATTTTGTATGATATTTGAACCCGTATCATCTGTACTTGTCTCAATCGAGGGATTATCATAGCTTACTGAAGATGACCTTGAGATAGGACGATTTTGTTGTAAGTCAGTATCAGTTGATATAAAACTATTGACTAATGACGATGCGGTCGAACCACGTTCCTTCCCACTATTCATTGTGCGGTGACGGGTTTTTCCTATAACAAAAGAAAATTTAATTTAAAAAAAATAGATAAATTTATAGACTAAACTTAACTTACTAGGTGAATGTGTAGTAAGTTTATAGTGAGATGGTGGCTTAATATCATAGCGTGCAAGAGAATCAGAAAATGATGGCTGAAAGTACATAGTGAATATTATTTTAATATGAGAATCAAAAGTAAGATAACTTACAATGTCTGGACGTACTCCAGGTAAATTTAACTTTTGCAAGTTAGGTATCTCCACTTCGAGAAAGGTAGGCCAACATGATCTATCCAAATAAACAACATCCTTAACAAGAAACGCCAAAAACAACATTTTAGATGATATTTTATGTTTGACATAGTTCATACAGCTTTTATATCGAATTGGATATTTTCCAAACCGGATACAAGAGTGATAAGAGCCGCTAATCTCTAAATAGATATATAGACAGTCTAAATAAAGACATAAAAATAAAATACTAATTGTTGTCTGCTTACTTGTTCATCTAGAGTAATTGAGTCAGATGTATAAAATCTTTTTAAAAATTTACGGTTTTCTTGAAAACATTTCAAATAACTTTCGGTTAGATTATCGGTTAAAGAAATAAATAACCACGCTCGGCCTATTTTCATAGAAATTGAAGAAAAAATGAAAAATAGTTTATGTTCGAATGAGCAAAAAAAATGCCATACCTCTTCCAATATCTGTGCAAATATTAAGCAACGATTCTATTTGACGAGTTAATAGTTTTGGTGTGAATTCTTTTACAACTGGATAATAGCCATCACTTACCTTTCTTAAACTAATAAAGTAAACAACAACAATTATTCGATATATATAAAAATTTCGTATTTCTATTATATACCCGAAAAGTAAAGCAAAATCTAATTGCTCAAGTACTGAATGAAGTTGCCAGTTATCATTTGTTACAATTCGTTGTTCATCCTCAACTGCAAATCGATGAACCTAAAATGAAGAAGAAATTATTTTAAAAGTGACAAAATAAATATTCAAATTTTTTACTTCTTTAACTGCTGCTGAAACATTATTCAGTAATTTATCTTTGATTACATTAGATCCATATAAACGAGACATTAGATATTTTTGTTTGATTAACTATACCATTCGTAATAAAAATACAAATTTTATAAAAGAATATATTATATTCTACAAAAAATGAGAGAATAAGTAATTTGTAATTGGAAAAAAGTCGTTATGTCGTTATTGCAATAAGATTATTTTAGTGATTAAAATTTTTCTCATTAGCAATGACTTGTATTTTTGATTTGTACTATACAAAAAACAAAAAAAATACATTTTATCAAAAAGATACCTTTCAGCTAAATACACGTTTTACAATTAAAAAAAACGGCAAAATATTCTGAATATTTCACTCATTTCAAACATTTAAGGGTTTTTCTGACTAAATTGATAATTCAATAACAAATTAGATAGCAGCAATTTCTTTTCTTTTCGTATAATACCTAATCTTTGTGACTCAGTTAAATTTGGTTTATTCATTCTGACATGGTTGTCAGATCCAGCTGATGAAATGACTCATGATGACTCATTGAAACGGCAGCTATTGGCCACTATCGGTATGCATCAGAAATGATATTCGTTTATCTATGTAGGTTAAAATAAATGAGCGGAAGTTGTCTTTGTGTTTGTTTATTGAATCCTTAATCTATGAAGTGTCTTAAAGTTATTTTCACTGCCGGCTTAATCTGACATCTGTTATATGGACAAGTTTATTATGAAAAAGATTTTTTGAGATACTATTGGGACTGTTAAAAATGTTTTTGTTGGAAAAAAAGAGTGTGACGCAAGAAGCAAGAACAATCTCTCTTTATTACTTACCATTTTACTTCTTCAGAGAAATCAAAAAGGTTTTCCTAATAAAATGAAATATAATAGTAAATTGTGACAGAGATGAGAAAGAGAGAAAAATAGACCTGCATGTGTAGAATACTCTAATGCTTAAACCCAATGCTTTTAATAGTGATAATCAAGTAAAAACTAGCATATAAAAAAAATTGAACTAAGTCGATTGTGGATGAATATTTAGAATGACCGGATGCAACAAAATAGCATCAGCTGAAGTGGATTTTGCTTCCTCGTTTTCTGTAGAGTTTTTTGTCTCAATTTTATCGTGTACAGTTGATATCGTAGATGGTCTAGTAATGTCATGGTCATTTGTAGGATGATAAACAATCACCGATTTTGAATTTGCCTTTGTTGTAAACCATTTTGGTTTTAGTGTATATTTAACAGCATTCCACAATGCATCACCCGCCTCGTGTTGAAGACTCGATTGATTTAGTATTTCTTTTACAAACACTGTTGCTGCTATTTTGATATTTTCATCATTTAACACGTTATGCGATATTTGAATTGCTAAATCAGTTAAAAGTTGTTTTGTATCTGTATCTTCAATCAACTTCTTTAGTAATATAAACAGTGCATCTTTATTATCTTGTTGTAAAATGGCACGACGCAATAATTCACCTAACTGAATTTCTGTCTCAGGTTTTGCCATTATTTCTAAGACAATGTTTGCTGTAAACTCAGTTACATATTTTTGCATTGTTTTATCTATCATTAAATGTTGTAATAATCGAATTAATGTTTGTTTTGTATTCTCATCTTGAATGATTTTTTCTAGAAATAACACTGTTTTCGACAAGATATGCGGATCAATTAATAGTTTATTAACAACTTCTTGTGATAATTGATTGACTTGCTGTTGAACATCTTCGGTTTCTAAACTACGCTTCGCTACATCAGCTACTTGTGAGATTGTCGTTTTTTTAATAGGGTGTCGAAATAAATATAAAATACCGGTTACTATTACTACTAAGATACCTGAACCGATCAAAATTGTTTTAACATTCATATTTCGTTCACGTAAACGTAATTTTCGAAGAACAGAAAGAGATACGTCCGATACTGTTTCATACAGCTGTTGACCAGGAACTGTTGAATGAGTATTAGATTTATCGTTATTGTTAGAAGAAGTATGGGGCGGTGGTTTGGGGTTTGATGAATCAAAGCTTAACGGTGAAATATAGAACGATCGACGAATCATAGAATGTTTTGTCAGACACCATGGTGAACGATAAGCTGTAATTAATTGTAATAATCGTACACTATCTGACAACCTGAATCGACTAGCTAGCATTGTGAACTAAAATGAATACAAAAAGAAGTACACAAGCCTGTTGAAAGATGATTTGTTGTCGAAAGGAAGATCCTAGTTCATACGTGTTCCTTAACACAACTCGGTCAGAATGGAACAAGAAGTATAGAAACTAAAAATGAGAGATTAAGAATACAAGACAGTGTCTTTGTTAATTTTGAAACCAGTTTTTGGCTGACTAAGGAACTGAGATTAGTCAGTTCTACTTTCGATCACAAATGTACCAAGGCTTTAGAGGTTACCGCAAAGATCACATATTCTCAATATACAGAACCCAAATCCTATTGATCTTTTCTTTCAGACTTAGGCGATGTTGACTTAATCAAGATCGGTAGGACTTGGGCTGTATATTGAGAATATGTGATCTTTGCAACAATTTCTAATGGCTTGGCGCATCCTTACTTTCGATTACTAACTTACACATCAAAAACGCTTTTCTGATCGAACTAATAATACTAATATAATATTATGTTATGCATCACAATAAGAGAAGGGCTGTCCCAAATTTAGGCCAATTCCTGCCACAATTTTTCTACTACACTCTCAGTAGAAAATTTCAATCAAAATTCGCATTGTTTACTTATGAAAACAAGCATGAATCTTGGATATCAATTGTTTTCAAATCATACGTGTGTGTTATTTTTGCTGTTTCCACTTTCTATTAAGCAAAGAACAATTGAAACAAAAAAATACACAATGAATAGATACACAGATTTTTGTGTGCCTGATATTTCATGAAAAATGCAAAAAAAGTTATTACAAATGTTTGTATCAAGAATTACAACTATCTAGAAAAAAGATTTTATTATGCAGATGAAAAAAGCATTATCTTTGTAAGTCTAGTATTACAATAAATGCAGCACATTGCCATTTCTCTCTCTCTCTCTCTCTCTCACACACATACACATACACTCTCTCTCTGAAAACAGAAAAGGCATAATACCAAAACAACACATTACACTGTAGACTAAACACAACAATATGAGCAAATCTCCAGCTGCAATGAATTACAGTAATGACTAATTTTTAGTTTTAACCAAACACAAAAAATAGACTAGGAATAAGAGAAAGATAAATACTGTTAGAAAAACGTTTATTGAGTCCCTCAAGAAGAAAAACAATGAGTAAGTGAGTTATTTGTTGTTGTATTTTTATTGCTAGTTTACTTATGCAGAGAAAAAACATCGTTTTTCTTTCGGTTTTGTGACATATGAACAAGAGTAAAGTTAACAAAAAATTCCTCTCTCTCTTTCTTTAAAATCAACGCACACATCTGCTTATGAACAAGACAAGTTTATAATTTGTGAAGCGAAAAAAAAACGCAGCAACACATTTCAAAAAAAAATAGAATCAACTTTTCTGTTCTTCCGCTTCATCATCTTCATTATCTCTCATTCTCGCCACTTTAAATTCGTTATAATGTTGTTTTCGTTTTTGTTCAAATACTTTCTTTCGTTCTAAAAAAAATAAGTCACATACAAAAAAACAAAATTTATGATATTAAATATGAGATATATTTTCAATTACCTTCTTCTTCGGCAGTTAGTGGATGATCTTCAGTACCATCTGTTCTCACATGATGAATAACAGATGAAGATGCTGAATCTTTTGAAGCATGAGATGATAAAATTGAGGATTTTACATCACTGGTAGTACTACTGTTTGAATTAGAACTACTTCTAGATTAGAAAAAAAAGTAATAACATAGAGTGATATTTGTATGAAATGTCATACTGTTCTAGTTGTTCAATTGCTTTTAATTCTTCATCAATCTCTTTTTTTCGTTGTCTAACAATTTCAAATTCATTGTAATGTTGTTTTCTCTTCTGCTCAAAAGTACGACGATGTTCTAATAATAAAAAAAGACAACAATTTTTATAACATTCACAACTAGCAGTTATGTAACTAAGATATCTTTCTTATCTATATACCACGTTCTTCAGGCGTTTCATGTTCATCCTCGACTGAACTTGCAGATGATTCTCTTCTAATACTATCTGGATGATAATGTACACTGGTTGATGACGATGTTGATGTGTCTTTGAGCCTAGAAAAAAAGAACAACAACAATGACAGCTTGCTTTATGACAACAAAAATGGTAGACTACCTATTAGCCAATGTAGTTGGATCTACTGCACCTTGTTCAACTTCCATTTCTTCTTCTATATCTCGATTAAATGGAGTTTTGGGTTCTTCAATTTTCATGTGACCATAATCTTTATCAGCTGGATGATATGTTGCTAATATATTCATTTCGTCAAAATGTGGAATTTTATGACTAAGATAAAAGAAGAATATGCATAAACACAATCTTGTTTGAAACATCGATTACCACCTTACCTTTTACTTTCAGATCTTGTCATTCCACTTAAACATTGTTGATGTTCTTGTGGATGCTGATCATTGTTTGCATCATCAAGACTTTTACCGGATTTTAATATACTTTTACAAGGTTTCTTTGTCAAATTTGCTATAGCATGTGGATCAACAATAATTTCATCCGTATCAGACATAATAATGATAACTATTTATTTGAAATTCCAATATGTTTGATTATTTTAGTTCATTTGATCAATTATTTCTATAACGTTTAAATTGAAAATCTGAAATAATTAAAAATAATAATTTATCAATAAATTTATTTGAGGTAAGTAGTTCTTTCTTGTAAGCTTATTATATAGACGAAATACTAGTGGCGCACACAAGGACGAAAAGCTACGTCTAACAGTGACATAGTCTAAATAATACATTCTATCTATGGTATAGACTTCTGAAACCTTGAAAGTTTTAGCAATGTAACTATGGAAAAGGGCAGATTCAGGATTTTCGATCAGGATCGGGAAGCAGAGAATCTGGTCATTCTAAGTTCTGACACTGTTCGCTAAATTTTTAGAATTTTCATTCTGCTAAAAATTTATCGAACTTTTTTATGAATACAATAAATGTCACGATTAGCTTGCGAGTAATTGATCTGACAAACTGTAAGAGATGGCAAACTATTATAAGTATCTAGTTTAAAGCACCTACAATCACTGAGCTACCTATCAACATAACTTGTCTTCTAAATTCCGATTATCTATCAAGTATTGGCGTACACACATAAATCTTTTACTTCTTTGAAAAAAATCATCTATCAGAAAAATCTTTTCATACTGACTAAAAACAATCGGAAACACTAGACATTGTAAATAACGAATCGATATATTTGATTTTTTTTTCGCTCATAAGACACATAATTGAGCAGTCTAAGAGATGATGTACAACATGTATCGATTGAAAATCGAATAAACTGAATAAAAATGATTGATACAAATGACTCAATTTCTTCAACAAAAACTGAACTGTCCTTTGAATTTTCTTCTAGAATATCTTTATGTAACAGTTAAATCCAATGAAAAAATCGTTTTATGTTGTTTTTTATCAAGGAAAATTTGTGTGTGTCATTTAAGAAATTCACAATTATAGCTTAGAGAATTAGTTCTTTTTGTTCTTTAAGCTGACTCTAAGCTTAAAAATATAAATTCATTTCTATGATAAAGTAAATCCTAAAATTATGTATAAATATTGACTGCTTCCTGTAAGTACAATATAAGTATTGTCTTAAAAATAAATTTAATATTGATTTTGATTTTTAAAATCGTTTGTTGTTGCTACCTTTATTTGAACATAATAAATTTATTTTATAACCACTAAAAAATTTAGTTATAAAAAAGAATAAACATAGAAAACTTGAACTCATAATTCATCCATTCTTATAAAGATTACGCGTGTAGTAATAACTAGTTTAAGTTTCTTAGAATTGAATGTCTCTCTTGACTATTAGAAAAATAGTTGTAAAATAATATTATTAAATCTAATAGTATCTAGTTTTCTCGACTTTTAGTTTATTAATATCGAAAAATCTAACAAAAATATTCTTTTTATCATTCCATTAGATTCTGTCTACAAAAGAGTACAAATATATTATTGAAAAGTGATCTAACTTACGTGTTCATATTCAATTTTTTCAACAAAAAAATAAAAAATAAAAATAAAACTATTTTCTATTATAGATTATTTGAAAGTTTGCTAAATTCTCTATAAACTGATCTATGTATATAACAACATTTTTCTAAACCTCTTTAAAGTCATACGACAATGATTATTTTTATCAAATAATGTTATATATTTTTGCGCTTCTTGTCAATGATTATCTTAACTAACATAAAATAGAAACAAAATGAATTATTTCATGAGTACGTGAGTTCAATCGTCTTTTTAATGTATTTCTAGTCTTTCATAAGATCTACTGGGAGAAAGATAAGTTCTTTAACCGTATTGTCTATGAATGTTCTATATCATTGCTCTGTTCACTCAATTATGTGACTTTTTAGTTATTTATTTCTAAGTAAAAAAATCAAATCACTCCTAAATTAATTCTTCTAGAACATCTGTTCTATCTGTTAATTAAATTTAAAAAATAGTATAGAGTAACTATCGTTATTTTACTTATTCAAAATAATTTTAACAATAATCAGCTACAAGAGAAATGAATATGATAATTATTAAAAAACAAAATTTACATTTGATCAATTAACGTTCTTGAAAAGATTTCGAGAGAATGAAAATAGTAACGAAATCATGCAAGACTTTTGTCAGCTTAGTAGTTGTTGTTCTTTTTTTTTTAGCAAAATCTTTAAGCAGGTAAATATACATACGCACAATAGAATGCGTTTAATTTAATACACAACTGATTTAATCTAAAACAAAAAAGAGTGTCTAATGTCGTTTATTACGTTAATTAACGTCGTATGTCCTACATATATATATTTGTATATTATTTATGTGAGTAAGCAAAAAGAAAGAAACAGAAAGAAGGGGAATAATACAGAGAAAAAAAATCCTCTTTTTTTCTCTGTCTATTTATATAAACGAGCACAAATTTGAGATATACTTCGACAAGAAAGAATATTTTTGTCTATGTACTATAATACTCAGACTATTTATGGGAAAAAAATCTTCGAAAACAATAGCTTCATTTCTTCACATCCTCGTCATCATCAATATACAGGCATACATATACGACTACTACTATTATTATTATTATTATCATCATCATCATATAACTTTTTTATTATTAGAATCTCCCATAGAAAAACAAAAAGTTGGAAGAAAAAAAAAAAGTATATATAGAATAAGTACAGACTTTTTTTCTCTCCTCTTTATCACCAAATACTAAGTTGAAGTCTTTATCGAGGCCAGTCAAATGACCGAAATAGAATTATTCTTTTATATATTAACGATTGTTGATCAATTCTTTTTCTATAAACATATGAAAAAAAAAAAAAAAGAAATATGAAATATTACTAATCTATTGAAATCAATTTTTTTTTATATAGAAATAAATAAAAAAATATTTATGATAAAAGAAAATAGCACCAAATTTATACATATATTTACAGATACTTTTATTTTACTGATGGAAATACAGAACAATCAAATATAGAGGAAATAGATGTGACAAAAATTAAAGACATATAATTATGTTAAAACAGTATGATAAAATTCAATTTATTCTTCTCAATGTTAAATGAGTTTAAAGACAACGATTCAGAATAAAATTTGATAACTAATATTTTAAATTTTATTTTATTTCTAAATTGTTAATCTTATACGAAAATCGTTCTGTCATTCATATATGAAAAAAAAATATATATATATTCTAGAATAGTTTTCTCATTCTCATTGTTAGTAGTGTGTGACCGTATAAGGTTAAAAAGTTATAAATAAAATGAAATTTAAAACGGTGGCATTAGTTATCAAATTTTCTTCAAATGTTGCCTATAGATACTCAAATTTCTTTTGAATAATTAAATATATATGAAGAGTATACGATCATACGATTTTTTTTTAACAAATTAAATATCTAAAAATAAGTATGATGGCTAATTGTAATGAAGAAAAAACAACAACAATAACTATATGTTTGAAATTAAATTTTAAAATTTTCTCATCTTCTTCTTTTTTTTTTCCCTAAATAACAATATACAGATAGATAAGTAAATGATAACAAAAATATACTTCTGTAGATAAAATCGAAAATGAAAATTATAAGTTAATTAACCATAAAAAGTAACTCTATATAAAAAAAAAATAAATGTCAATCTTAATATTCATAAACTATTATTATCAAAATAGAATGGACGTGCTTTTGGCTACTATTCACTTTCTAATTGCTTTTGGCTAATATAATACACCCATTCAAACAGAAAAGAATTCAAATTGAAAAACTATATATATATATATACAAAAGAAAAATCTCAAACTTCATTTTTCATAATGTAAATCAAAGAGAACAAAAAAAAAAATTTGAAGTTTATATGTGGGATCTTATTATCATTCATGCTTCACTTATCATTATTACACACATCATCACTTCCTAATAAGAAAAAATCTTAGTTATTAAAAATTCTATTGGAACTATAGTTTAGAATATATTGAACGTTTACTTTGTTCTCTACATTTAGTCACAGTATTTTTTTTTTACAATATTCATTCAGTTGAATATTATTTTACAAATGTAATAACAAGAGATTTTAATATATTCATTGTTGATACAGACGGAACAGTCTCATCAATATAGTAATTTCCTTCCTCCTCGATTTCAATTCTATATAAATGAGAAAAATACGAACACATTCTTCTATTAGAAAAGAATGACAATAGAAACATGCTGTTTTCCTTAACGTAACTAGTGCACAATTACAAATAGATTTTTATTAGGTAAAGAGTCAAAAAAACTTAAAAAAAATGTTCAAAATTTTCGAAGATTTGATACAACAGTTTAAACATGATCATCTCAGAATTCAACATTAACTTTCATATTTCATTGATGTTTTTTTTAAATTGATCATCATTCAAAGGATAAATACATTTATCGTTAGTTAAGCGTGCAATTGGATTGAGAATATGTTTAAAAGTGGAAATATTTTTGTCTGTCAATATTATATGAATAATATCTACACCTTTCAAAAGAAGATAATCACTTAATAAAGAACGATGACATTCATTAACATCACTTTCTGAACACATTAGTAAGCAATTTTGAGACGATATTAATGATAATAATTCATTGAATGAATAAATAAAATTAGATGTTTGCATATGATCAGCGTAAGCACGAAGTTCACTGTCAATTAAACCATTATTGTCCATTAAAGATTTTTTTCGTTTTCTACGACCTCCAAATGCATCACCTTTAAAAAAATAATTCATTTTAGTTTGTTCATATAAAATAGTTGGAAATGTATCGCTATTAAATTGTGGATTTTTAATTGATTTTGGTGAACGACGTATATCAATCAATGATTCTATTTTGAGTTTAATCAAAACGTCAATTAAATCGCTTAAACTATGAGATGAATGACCAATAGTGTAGACTATTTTCGTAGTCATTAAATAAAGATCAATAACGAATACCGCTTATCAAAAAACAAAAAAAAACTTCGTAAACATTTCTGATTTAGATGATGGTATACTTCGAATTCTATGATACTTTATCAGTGTTTTCAATAAGAATGTAAAGTAGTGTTTTACATTTGATGTTCTAAGTGAGAATGCCTCAAGTCAGAAGAAATACACTCTTATATTATAGTAGTTAAGTTTTATGGCTGTCTCTTTTCTTTCGTAGGAACATGTTCGATTTTCAATCAACGAAAGGAAACCCCACAAATTACAAGAGAAAAAAACACAATTTCTCCTGAGAATAATGTTCAGCTAAGACAAAAATATTCATTTTCTTTGGCCTTTCTTTTTACAAAGGTTTTAACACGCCGAACCGAGATAAAAGGACAGTTATTATGCACCCTGTATATTTATTTTAACGCTTATATTTTTCAATGCATACAGGATTTTAGACGAAGGATGAGGGTATCGTTTGCAGTCTATACATTCTCCTAAAAAGCTATTTTTATTAGCACACATTATACACCGGTGCAAGATTTTTAACATTTTTTCTGGCACCGGTGCGCATCCGTACTGATATAAAGTATACTTTATGGAGACTTGTTTGATACTAGTACGCGTCGATGCCACTCTATGAACCCAGTACGGCACTTTTCCGTCAACAAAAAAAAATTCCAGCGTGGCACTTGCTGGGTACTAACCAGTGCCACACTGGAATTCTTTTGAAATATCCAAATTATAAACCACTAATATAATGGCTGATAAATACTTGTTTTCGTGATTCAACAGACAACTCAAATAAGTGACTAGCTAGAAAATAGAAGCAAGGTATGTGCATCGTTTTGCTAATAGTTTCTATCGTTTTTGTTAAAAAAAATAGAGAGTGAAGAAAGACTACTATGGAAGCAATACATCCATATGGAAGGAATTTCTTTTAAGTAATGCTCATTGTCGTTCAGAGAGTGGGCACCGGAAGGTGCAAAGAGTGAATGACACGGTTCTTTTCTACAATGATCAAGCAAAAAATGTTTTTTAGCATCAATAGACGTTGAAAATTTTTGTTTTGCTATCAATCAAAAGTATAAACCGACGAATTACATAGTACTTCTGCAAGGAAATTGTTTACTGCCTCTTCTAAATCGATTTTCCTATAAACGCTTATACGGAAGAAAGATAAGACAGTTGGAGAATTTGTTAAATGAAGCGATGTGGAACTGACTGATGGGGAAGGAAGGGAAATACGTTGAAGTTATCACGAAAATCTGGAAATGCTTTGTGTGAGCAGGGAGAAAAAGTAGTAAGCGCCAATAGGTAAGGCTGAACGGGGAATTTACGTCCATAATGGTTCCTGGTATCAGAGAGTGTACAGGAAATGTGTGCACTTTGTTGCATAAAAATAAACGTTGTGCTTGAAATGCACAATGTGGTCGGAATATGAAAGCTGCTTTGGTAAAAGTGAAAATGACTTATATTACACCAAAAAAAGAAAGCATCCTACATTCACCTAATGTCAGAATTAGAGGGATGCAACGGGTATTACAGAAAGAATAGCGTAGTTTTTATTTTCAGCTTTTTTCCTCTCGCTTTGAATTCACAGAGCTCATCTTATTACCAAAAGATTCCCCATTTATTTCTCCACAAAATGGTGTATAGAAGATGATCATAGTATTTGAGACACTGTCTTAATTGAACAAACACCGAAATGTCCGAAAAAATTAAAAAATGAAAATTTTTTGCGAGAATAATTTGAAAGTTTGGACTCCATTTTGAAAGTGATTGGACGAAGATAGCACATTATTTATTAGGACCTGATTGATTCAATTTTGTCGGAACAATATTCATTTTACAAATAGCCCGAAAATGCAGGCTGAAAAGTCATAGGGCTTTTGCAAAAATCATTACTGAAAACATAGAAATAACGACAGAAAAGCCGCATTATAGCTAATCGGTAGAGAATTTCAAGGGCTACATTTTGGCCTACTTGCTCTAGACACAACGCATACATTCAACCTCATACTGACGAAATACACTTTTTTGTGTTAAATTTTGTAAGTTTTTCGAAGATTTCGATGTTTGTTCAATTAAGACAGCGCCTTAAACCTTAGGATCATCTCCTATACACCATTTTGTAGAAAAATGAATGCGGAATCTTTCGATAATGAGCTGAGCTCAAAGGGAGAGGATAAAAACTAAAAATAAAAACTGCGCCATTCTTTCTGTAACACTCGCTATTTATTGGTTTAATCTCGCTTTTCTTACTCTAATCATATCATACGAACTAAAAGGAAGAGATTCTTTAGGATCACAGATTAAACTTATACTCTTAAAATGAAAAATTTCCAAGTTTAACTGAAAACGGGCATGATTAGGTGGTATAAGAATCGGTGTCGTACAAACGATCCACTTATTTCATAAAATACATCTTTTGGCATCACTTTATAACAGGCGAGGATTTGAAGAAATAAAAAATTCTTTTTGTTTCCTGTTTAATTTTCTACACCATAGGGCGCACGCAATAACACACCACAGAGAATAACAAACATTTGCCATGAGTGAAGTCAAAACTGACTAATGACGAGCAGACCTTCTACAATAAACCAATCGTTGTATACATTTCACGTTGAAACATTATGACCTTGCTAGATTTTATTAACGTTAAAAATTTTTAGTTACATTATTTAACATTTAAAAATCGAATCTTATTCTGCTAACACCTGAATCGTTTCCTGACTGGATTAGATTTTGACCAATAAAAAATTAAATATAAACCATAAGGAAAACAAATAATCGAAATACTGTACGACTAAATTCAACTACATCTGTAGTATTCTTATTAAAGTAGCTTAGCAAATAAAGCTTTTAAAGCTGAACTCGACATCCAGTCTAGATCCAAATCCCAGTCACATTTCCTAGGCAGTGGATCGTCTCAACTGAGAAATTTAGACGATAAGGATATAACAATTTATTCTCACTGCTTTTTGTGCATATTTTCGAAGCGATTCTATGCCTTCTACTTTCTCACGGCACATTTGATACACAGTCATATATGCTGTTATCACTACTTCCACAGATCGATCACCCTAATGTGATGTGTGTGGAGTGTAAGTGTGTGATCAATCTGTAGAAGTATCCTGTTATCAACTAAGTTTTAGAAGTTAAAATAGTTCGAACTATCAAACTTATAATGTCTATTTGACTCAGCGATAAGAAAGAGTCAAAATAGTAGTTTACACTCTAATTCAAATAAATATCGCCTTTTTTGTACACGCTTGAACAAAGATTCGCCTGTTGTTTGTCTAACATGTTGATGTATACATATTTCAGAGCCTTTCATCGGGCAACTCATCACTATTCTCTTTATTAGAAGATACTCAAGAGTCTTTCATAGAGTAGGCTCAACTTCTTGAGTCAAATTCCAGGGTAGATTTTGGCAGGTAAAAGGTAAAAGTTTCTCAGCAGAGATAGTACTCGTTTTCCAAAAAAATTCTCCTTGGAGATATTCTGAAAACAAAAGATTTGAAAAGGTTTTCGATTATTCGTTTTTTACTTATTTTTAAATATCTTTGATTGTGTATTAGATGATGATAAATTATCTAATGTACAACAACTGATGATAACATTATTTGAATGAGCAGTTGGAAATAGAGTTTTAAATATAGAGTATAATACTGCTATTGATAGCAGTATTATACTTTATATTTAAAACATGATGATAATATTCTCGATGTTGCATCATTATCATTAACTTTTTTTTTTGAAATATTTGTTTATATCACGATTGTCATTACTGTGCTTTACTAAACGTTTCTTAATCTGTGATTTTAGATCCATAAAACAACTGTTCATAAAACTACTAATCAATCTAAAACCCACATACTTTAAAAAGCAATTTTCTATTAAAAATAGAAAATTGCAAAGAAAATAAAAGCAATTTCTTTGAATTCTAGCAGTGTTACCTGGACAAAAAAGCCTCGCGAGTTCTGTTACCTACGACTCTGTGTATGATTTGAATGATGCAATCCTATGATATTTAGTGTGAAGAAAAACGTTGCATAATCCGCATATACGAAATGGTGTATAGTGTAATATTATTTAAATTGAATATGAATTGAACTTTTTTCCTTTAGATATATTTATAAAACTAAAACATTTATTCGATTTATTCATTATATTAAAACATTTATTAGATATATTTGTTACATTAAAATTAAAATGACTCGTATTCCTTCTGAAGTTGAACTAGAAATATCAAAATTTTGTAATAATATCAGACAGCATACTTATGTGCGTTCAGTTGATATAGCGTTGGCTACCGTGTTAATATTGAAAAAATTAATTGGTGAATCTACGTGGACCGATTCTGGCGAATTAATTCAGTTAATTCGTTCACAAGCAAATCGTCTAAATGAAGGACAATCTATTGATAGTATAACATTTAATATAATTCGACGTATTTTGAAGTTAATTCGTGAAGAATCAAGTCGCATTTTGCATGGACGACACGAAGGCGACATGCCTTTAACATTACAAGGTTTTAGTGAAACTGTATCTAGAACCGAAGAAAAAGAAAATGATCAAACACTTAATCAAAAGAGCGCTGATGGGACAGAAACGGATGTAGAGAATGTTGCAGTACAGAAGCCAGCACTAACATCCGATAATGTGCCTATGATTAATTTGAAACCAGAATTAATGTTCTCCTTAAATGAGTACAATTTTGAAATTGGTGAATCAGGGAAAATGATTTCTCGTGAATCTATTCAACACATTCATGCTAATGAATTAATTTTGACATTGGGACATTCTCATACTGTTGAAGAGTTTTTTAAATATGCTGCTAGTAAAAAACGAAAATTTCAGGTATTTGTAATGGAACAAGCACCATATTTTAGTGGACATATCATGGCTAAAAATTTAGCCGATTTAAATATTAACGTTACAGTAGTTACAGACTCAGCAGTATTTGCGTTAATGGCGCGTATCAATAAAATAATTATTGGCACAAGAAGTTTATTAGCCAATGGTGGTTTGACAGCTAAATGTGGAACATACAATTTAGCTCTAGCCGCTAAACACTACAGTGTCCCGTTATTGGTTTGTGCTGCAGCCTATAAATTTTCGCCAACATATTTACCATCATTTGATCCCGTTATGTGTAATAGTTTTGATTCACCCGAACTCATTTTACCTTACAATGATCGTATGCAATCATCGTTAGATGTCATTGTACCGATGTACGATTATGTACCACCAGAACTAGTTACGCTAATAATAAGCAGCGGTCAAGGAAATGCACCTTCTTATGTGTATCGTCTAGTAAGTGAATTATATCATGCGGATGATAATGATTTAGAACGACAGAATAGAACAATTTCATAGCGTCGTCTCTATTGGTTGCTCGATGTTGTTTGCTTCACTGGTTCACTTTCTTGTCGATATTTTTGCAAGATTCTTGTCTCTTGACATTTAAAAGAAGAATCTTTAAGTTTAACTTGATAGATCAGGGAAGATTTTTTTATTGATTTTTCACCTTTTTTTAACGAAAGATTTCTATTTGAAATGGCCAATGTAATTGAACCAAGTTAAGCTCATTTAGCTTTCGTGCTCCTAGCAGATGATAAAAAGATTCCTGCATAAAATCTTCGAATAGTTTCCGCTGCCCTCGGCGGTGTATTTCTCGTGCTTTCAAAGCAAAATGAGACTTATCCCATTTGAAATCGTTCTGCCGCCTCTGAATGTACGTGGTTTAAAATGGATCATATATGAGTTTTTCGCTTACAAGGTTCTTTTAAAAATACATGTAAAGTATTTTACAAAGATTCTTGTCTGAAATGGAATGGTGCAAGAATATCAACTAGAAAGTGAATCAGTGTTTGTACAAAGTACTTTTTTATATCGTTTTTTATGACATCGTTAGAAATTGACAAAAACCAAGAAATATAAAAGATCATGAATACTTTATTTTATATTATATAAAGATTAAAATCAAAAGAATTTCTGTTTATTATTCGGTTCAACAGGGAATATTCTGAGAAAGAGTCTGCAAGAAATAACTCTATGATGAATGAACTCATTATTAAATATATATACATATGTGTCTTGCTCTAGATGAGAAGTAGTTGCGCTTTAACGTTTTGGGCGCAGCTGACATATTTCAGATCAAACACTGCTCGGCTTCGGTTTGTTTACTTCAATGCTGTTTGTTAAATGATAGGTTAGTTGATTTGAAGAGAACAATTGTCTTTAGACTCTTTGACCTTTTTTAGAAATTAAATCAATTTAAATTTTAGACTCACTGCAAATGGCATCTGCATACAAAGTGTTTACACAAAAACCACTAGAAATCAAAACAAAGTCCATCGAATCAACATTGGTGCCACTCGTAACACAGGTATAATTAATTTACTTCACGAAAGAAAAGCTTAAATAGGTTTTTGATTACTACAATCATATCTAACAAGTATTTTTCAAGATTCTTTCCATTATACTCCAACTTGTGGGAAGTTTTTTCTGTATGTTGATAAACTGTTTTCTTACTTTTTCTAGATTTCAACATTAATCAATTTTAAAGAAAAACCACGCAGTACAACAACAGATAAAACATTAAATGCAATAAACCGTGTTGGAGACGCTGTTCATTTAGCTGTTGAACGATTTGTGTCTGTTGGTAAGCATTTACGTTAATTTTTGTTTATTGCAGTCGTAGATACATTTTTTTACTTCTAGGTGAGGCAATAGCAATTGAAAATCCAGATATTAAAGTAGACTTATTGGAGGCTTGTCAAGAATCTAGAAATGCCGGTAAATATAAAATGTAAGCAATCGTCTGTTACGAAGTTTAAGTTTTAAACTCATTTCAGGAGAAGCTATTCAACGTATCACATGTGTTGAATACGATAATTCCGGAAAACCAGTCTGTGTTACTAATCGACAAAGCATGATACAAGCAGCTAGAGGTTTATTATCAGCAGTGACGAAGGTTTTACTTCTTGCTGATATGATTGTGGTTAAACAAATAATAAATGTGAAGAAAAAAGTAAGCTTATTATTCTATAAGTAAATGTTTAGAATAAATCTATATCGGTCATTTAGGTTGTCACAACTCTAAGTAGATTAGAATCTGTAACATCATTTTCCGAGTTTGTAAAAACTTTTGGACAATATGGTAATCAAATGGTTGAATTAGCTCATTTAACAGGTGATCGTCAAAATGTAAGAAGACTGCAAAATAAATCTATAAATACTGCTATTTTCTAATTTTTTTTGTCTATAGGATTTAAAAGACGAACGACGACGATCACAATTGTCAGCTTCACGAACAATTCTAGAAAAGTCGACAATGCTTATTTTAACTTCATCTAAGGTGTGTTTCTTCCTATTTTAAAAAAACAAAACAAAATAAAAAATATTTCTGAGTATTTCAGACTTACCTCAGACATACAGAATGTGTACATGCGAGAAAATGCCGTGAACTTGTTTATTCACATGTACGTCGAGCATTAGACATGGTTCAATTGATTGTCATTGATTCAGGATCAACACAAACGAATACACCAACATTAGCATTACTCTTAGCAAAAAATGAAATTAATTTTGTTAAAGCGATGAGACAGTTTGAAGTAAGAATACGTTAAATATAGACAAACTGACAAGGAAAAGTTTATCGTATTTGTTTAGTATGGTGTGGAAATGCTTCATGTTTCACCAAACTCAACATCAAAAGAAAATTTAGAACAATTGTGTAACAATACTATTGATAATACACAAGATTTTACGGATTCACCCTATATTAGCCATGAACAACGGGAAAAAGTTCTTGATTACCACAAACGTTTACAGGATGAGCTAGCGGAAGTTGTGAAATATGCAACAGCTGAGAAAACCTTGATGGTATACATTATTTTAGCTATTGAAAATGAAATAAAACAAATGTCTTTTTTATCGATAGAATCGTCAAAATGATATGTTACCAGTGGCAATATCAAATATTCAACAAACAGCAAGAGATTTTCGCCGACAGGTAAATAAACATGTATGAGTAAAGATAATTTTCAACTAATGTGATAATTATCTTAGCTTGAAAATATGGCAATGTTTCGAGCATCCGAATTCTTTCGTACCCATGATGAAGGTGCATTATTAAATGAAATAAAAACTTACTCTATTACTGGTCGAATGGATCTTCTTCAAGAATCTTCAGACAGATTCAAAGAACAAGCTGATATAGCGCTTGAAGTAAGTTACCATATTCTAATTTCATTGACTGTTAATGTAACACATTTTTTATATTATAGCTTAGTAAATTATTACGTCATATTAGTTCGTGTGATCAACTACAAGTATCAAGCGAATATCATGATAATATGTTTCAAAATTTATCAGATATGGTACAATTGGATTTCTTTTCAAATTTTCTCATATTATTTTTATGATCTTTGTTTTCAGATTATGTGTGCTTCACAATCATTAGCATCACATCAAAACAGTCGAGTACCAAAAGAAAATTTGGATGTTTTATGCCGCTTTTGGGAACAACAAATCAATAGTTTTTCGGTATTAGTCAAAGAAATACAAGATTTTATATCAGGAAAAGGAGAGAAAACTGTTTATTTGTCGTTACCTCGTCCTGGTAAACATGGTACAACTGCTCGCAATACGTTTAAACCAACAAAATTAGATTCTGATGAGCAAGCAAAAATAGCTAAAGTGGGCTTAGAAATGAAATTAGTAACGTCTGAAGTTGATGCTGAAACAGAAAAATGGGACGCACCACAAAACGAAATTGTTAAGGTATTTTTATGGACAGATGATGTACTTCACAGAATATTAATAGGCATATATATATATATATCTTTTGTTTTTACAGCGTGCAAAAAATATGTCAAGTATGGCATTTTCAATGTATCTGTTCACACGTGGTGATGGCACATTAAGAACAACACAAGATTTATTTACACAGGCATATTATTTCGTTGAAGAAGGTACACGTTTATGCACAATTGTTCAAGAATTTTCAAATCAGGTAAGATAGTATACTACTACAATCAATCTTTTACTATATTGTATTATTTTTATTATTTCATAGATACCAAATAGTATAGCAAGACAGGATCTTTTATCTCAATTAGAGAAAATTCCACTTATGTGCCATCAACTAAAATTGAAACTAAAAATGTCGGCATTAGGAAAAAATTCAACATTTGCAAAAGTAATAACAGCACTCACATGGAAAAATTAGATTGTATTGACTTTTTTTTCTTATTTAGCTTGATACTGTGATAGGTGAAACAAGAGATTTGATGAACGCAGTTGCCAAATTAGTCACAACGTGTTATTTATGTCAGACGACGGTAAGATTTTCTTTACTATACAAAACCAATGCTAAGTAATATCGCACTGGCATAAGAAACCTCTTATGTTCGTAACTACCCACTCCCACTTGAGGAACTGGCAGATTGTATCATCATACTTTCTATTCATTTTGTTTTTTCCTCTTTCTTTGTAGTACAATATGGATTATCGCTCAAATCAGATAACACATGATCCAATGGTGTCTGATCATTACCAGTATCATCCGCATCCATCCTTAATAAATTCTAGGCCACCTCTCTCCTCGTCTAAATGGCATTCAGTTTATCGGAGACAATCATTTGAACGAGGTACAAGTTTCGATATAAATGACGAAACATCGAGTTGTAAATCCGAACGAGCTCTACGTTCATCATCATTACAACGACCTATAAATTATCTACCAGCTTTTGACCGAATATAAGGTTGAAGAATCTTTTTAATAGTACTTGATTTTTGACATTTTAGAACTGATTTTTTATTTACTAACCAAGTCTGTACTGGCGACGAATAGTAGTATTTGTAAAAAAAACAATTTTTTATATTCATTGAAAGTTTTTATATTTATTAGCCTGCAATATATTACTAGGATGTAATGAGAATCGTTTTAGGATTATGAGTTTTGAAGCATCGTGGAATTTTTTTTAATTCTACAATCAATCGATGTGTGTGTTTTTTAGTTATTCTTTTGATTGTTGCACATTAATTCATTGGTATATTGCGTCTTCTCATATGTTCTGTACAAATTTTAGTTCTTTTGTAATCTCATTTGTATGCGTGCATACTTTCTACTTCTCTTAGCAACATTTTCTAATAGTTGTGTGTGTGTGTGTGCGTGTCTACTTATTCTTCAATATTTTTTACTTTTTTTGTACATATAGTGTGTGATTTGTTTTCTCATATATGAAAACTCGTTTGTTATTTTGTATGTTTTTTTAATTCAAACATGTGTGTTGTATACATAGCTTAGGCAACAATGATTAGTGAAAAAAAAATAGAAGAATGCTGAAAGACTTTTGATAAAAAAACAATAAAAATTTGGTTTAATATTCATTTACAGAGACATTAGCAACCTTTACCTAATGGCAAGAATTCCGACGTCTTTTTTATAGGCGTTTTCGAATAAAAAGATAGCTTAGCAGTAATCAGAATTACAAAAAGTTTTATGATAGAAAAGGATTTGATGATGAAATACATTTATCACAGAAGTACAAAAAGACTGGTATTAACAATAGTTGTAAAACTATAAATATCACTAAAATCCACCAATACTTTTTAAACAATGTTTTAAAATTCGTTGAAAGTAAGGAAGAAAATGTTAGACTAAGTACATTTGTATGTTCATCATCTTGATATGGAGTGCATCGGTGATTTTGATTACAATAACCCAGATTATTGTTACAATTTGATCTACAAAATAACAAAGAACAGAATACACGATTATCATAATGAAAATACAATAAAATACTTTTCTCATACCCGTATAATCGAAATAATGGTTCACTGTTTGTCAAAATGTGATAAGGTAAACAGCCAGATATTGTCAAACATGAAATTAAACACAAACGATCAGACGGTACACGTTCAGATGTTTTTAATTGACATGATTCTAATTGAAGAGATAGACAAATGGACAATGCACACGAACCATTTGAACAAAATAGCGTGTCTTGTGCACATTTTGTAGAACTTGGCTTGTAGAACTGCTCAGAAACGGAGGGACACAGCGATGTAGTCCCATTACATTGAATTGCCGATTTACAATCTGTTTCAGGAGTACAAATTAAACCACTTGCCGTAAATGTGCATGTTACTGCCGAACAACATGAACCTTGTGATGGACTGCACGTAGCTAATGGACGTAACTGACATTGGTGTGTACAACATCGACCACCTTTCTCACCTTCATCACATATTTCGCCTTTCTCATATAATCCATTACCACAGATACTTTGCGTTGGTGTCACTGATAAACTCAAACATGTAGGATTGTTTATATCAAGTGTTTCTAAATAACTACTCATTGAATCAAGTGAACAATTCGAATAGAAACGGTTATTAACTTGAGTACCATCATTACTCTTTGAAAACATAATATAACTGCCACCTTCTTTCTCCGTGGGCAAACATTCTTTTTCTCTGCCTTTGAATGAATCATCATGCAACGCACCAAGCGAATGACTGAGTTCGTGAAAAAACGTTAATTCAGCCTTTCTGAGACTGTAGTCTGATACTTCGAAGTTTATTGTGACAATACCAACATTACTACTGTATCTTGGATTAAATGTTTTTTCAGTTAATATCGCTGCCGTTCCATATGAATCTCGATCATAAAGAAGAGCACACAGAGTTCTTGGCCAAGACCAGCCCAGTGCTGTTCCAACTCCATCGTATAATTGGAGCAATCTCGATGTTACGTCATAGTAAAGACACGCTCGTATATGTCCACTTGTTTTTGATTCATAATCACTGTACAATGCCATTAGATCCAACATATTTGAACTACTAAGATCTAGTGAGCAAAATTTAATTAATGGGTTTGTCGTATCGACTGATGAATTGCTACTACACATCAAATTCGTTACCATACTAATGCCATGAATATCAAATTGTAATTTATAATGTTGTTTATTTATATTTGAATACCATGTATACATTTTGAAGAGTTCATTAATACCGTCAATATTTCGATATAAATACGAATTGATTAGATTGTTAGTACGATAATAATCATACATGGCACGTTTTTGATATATACTTCTCCAAAACGGATAATCCACAACAAAATGAATTGAACAATATCGAAGTGGAGCAGATTTTGTTGAATTTTCTTCGAGTGTGAGATTTACATGAAGGCAAGAGATTATCGTGATATATAACGATTGACGAGTCGAGTACATAGATGCATGCTCCATGATGATGTGTTACATACCGTGAAATTAGACATGACATCTCGTAAGACGATTTAATTAAACTGGCGCCGATGAAAAACAGAAAGCAGAATGAAACGGCGAGTTGAACTGAAAAATAATTTCACTAATCTATTAAATTCAAATTCTATTTCGTACAATCGAAGTGATATTGCAGAACAATATTGAACATCTGAAACAGTTATCTCTGTTTTGTTTAGATTGAAAAGATAGGCTGTTAGTTCCTGAAAACTTGTAATAAAGATCAGCAAACAAAGTAATATTACTTTAAGGCTAGTGGTAGACGAAAATCGATGGTTTATGTGATATTTTATTTCATGTATGGTCATGTGAGAAAGCTTGCACAGACAATAAAGATTGGTCTTGACAAAAATGGTGTCGATACCCGATTATTTCAAGTCCAAGAAACATTACCACAGGAAGTATTTTTTTAGATCATTCAAGGATAATAGCATTCCTACCATAGATGTAAATCAATTACCGGAGGCAGACGGTTTAAATGTTTGAGTTTTCAACAAGATTTGATAGTGCGCCAACGCAAATGAAAGGTTTGTTTGATGCATGTGGAAAACAGTGGATGCGGAAGAGTTTATACCACAAACTATGTGGCCTGACGGAGCTTACACAGCAGATAAGAGACAACAGAATTAACAACATAAATCTTTGTTTCTCATTTGGGGATGATTTTTGTCCCGTTAGGATATAAAAATCCCAAACTTCAAAATTTAAAGGAAGTTCATAAAAGAAGCGCTTATGAAAGTGGAACTTTTGTTGGAGCTGACAATCGTCAATCCACTCCATCCGAATTGAATAGTGCAGAAAGTCAAGGTATCGATTTGCAAATGCTATTAAAAAGATGTGTGCCCATTAGAAGATATTTTCATACAACTTTATTTTGTTTTTTTGCAGACAAGTTTCTTTTTCGTCTTCAATTTATTTAATCTTTTTATGTCCCAATAAAAAAAGCATTTCACATATGCAAGTATAATAATATACTATGCCATGTAACAACTGCTAAAAATATGAGCAGGAATCCATACTACTCTAGGATATGAGTAGCAGCCATTAATTTCACAGGTTTTTGGTAAAATCATGATCAGTCAGTTCAATTAGCAAATACTTTGATTATTCAGAATTGAACAACATATTCATCTCTAATATCTCTTTATCCATTCGATTAACGTTTAAGATTTTGTTTGTCGTACTAGAACGAAAAAAAATGAGGCGAATCGGTGACGTTACAGAATCCTATCTATGCTACACACTACTAACTGGCAATGTTTAGAACCATATTTACGGTACTTAAAACCAAGTAAGCAAATATTTTTACCTTTTGACGGATCCATTGAAAATCTTGATAAAACTTTTGAATTATTTCTCTTATTCGTTCCGGATCCTGTTCATCCGCATGACTTCGAAAGTTCTATTTTGAACAAAAAATAATTAAAAGACATCTTTTTTCACTAAAAAACGAAAAGACTCTTTTCAATATATCTTATACTCACACTTCGAACAAAATTTCTGTAATAAGGTTGTGCATCGACTGGGAGTTTTGGAATTTGATGCATTAAATATTTGAACAATTTTAACGGAGTTTCAGGAATAGTTTTCATTTAGTTACTCTAAAACAAAGATATAAATTCAAATAGGAAAACTTTGAATGCTTGTTATGATGAGACACAGAATCTACTGCTGTGAAACTTCGACCGTAAGTCAGATAATGTCCTTTTCGGCTATCAAAGTCAATCATAACGAAAGAGTCGATCCATGCTAGAATGTGAAGTGCGTTTTCTGTTAGCGAAACTTTTTATTATCAAGTTTAACTTGATTCTTTTCAATAAGATCTCGATGTAAAAATTTAACAAATCAAGGTCTTAAGTATCATTAAATTTCTCATTTTTTGTACCAAGATTCAATGATCATTCATTGAAGGATTCATTGAATCTCCTACCTAGGATCTTTGTGATTCTTAAATCATGATTTTGTTCACAAAAGTAACAGCAATTTTTTCGAAAATGGAAAAACTATACTTTTTTTCCATTTTGAGTGATGATTGAGCTGGAATAAAACTAAACCAAGCTAAAGGGAAACAAATTTTGAGAAGGATTTCTCCTACAAAGCGGAACAAGACAGGGCGCCAGGCTTAGTGAAAGTTGCCTTTTTTTGTGTATTCTCTACCGGGTCTGATGCCTTTTTGTTCAATTTGCTCAGTTCTAGTACTAGCTTCGGATAAAGTAGAGAACATTGATTAAGTCTGACAGAAAATACCGGTAGGACTCGAAATTTCAATATCTAGAACAGGCGACTATCTTTGTGGCAGGTTCTCTAGGCTTGATATGTCCCTAATGGGGGGCGCACAGCGGACAATAATACGGGTATTTAGACATAAAATGAGAGTGTTTTATTATTTTTATTGTCAAACACTCGATCTGTTAGCTGTCTTTTCCTATAACAACAATTTCCTCTGTCTGAACGATGAGAGACGCATACTCTAAAATAGGCTAAAAACCAAAATTGTACCTAATTTAACTTTGAAGCACCCTTGTCGAAAAGTCAATGGAATGTTTATATTAAAGTATATTCCAAGTATGAATCTAGACTCATCCTATTACTTGCAAACCAAAAAAGTGGTTTGAGCCTAAAAATCTTGAACTAAAAAGCCATCTTTCCATGCTAATAGATTTTTCATAAATCAATTTAGGATTAGTTTCTGTCAAAAAGTCACGCCCCAATCGGATAAGAGTCGATTAAATAAGACACGATTCTCACAACAGCGGGATTACGCCACAAGTTCGGTGTGAAGGTTGACTTGGGTTATTGACGGAAGCAACTTGCATATACGGAGTCAGATTCTCAAATTTCATCAACTTATAGGTTCGACATTCTCGAAAATTTCAATGTAATACGTTTTCTTTATATAGAATTGTTACTGAAAAACAGCGGTGACTGCATAGAAAAATGATACGATTCCTACGATAGAAATCCTATCATTTCCATTACAGCATCCTCCAGAAAACTTACGATTCCCTAGTCCACTTTTTCTGATGAAGTCCCCGAAATCTCTAGGGAGTTCTCAGGGATTTCCTGTAAAATCTCTGATGACTCCTTGATTTTCAGCGAATTAATAATTAGAAATAATGAAGTCCTTGGTGACTCTCTAGGGATGTCTTAGCGAGAATGTAGAACATACTCACCGTTTTATTTTGCGTTTGCAGAAGTATATAAAAAGTGAAAATTTAAACAGGAACATCTTTTTTTTAGATTAATTTCTTTCGCTTTTAGATAACTGTAGCTGCTTCTGCCTGAAACTTGTCGGCGTTAACTCGCTGTTTCGACGTGAGTTAACTTTTCAGCCGAGTGACTCAGGTGAGAAAAAATTTGTGAAAGAAAATGGTAGACTTTCTTACATAAAATAAATTTCAATTTGATAAAAAGCCGATGAAAAAAGCTAAATTATCCTTAAAATTGAGCACAGGAGTCAAATTCAGTATTTATCCGTTTTTTTTGCAAACTCTCTGAGAAATCTCTCAGGGACTTCCTGGGGATTTTTCGAGGGAAAGTGGAGTAGGGTTTTCTAGGATGGGGAACTGATAGAATCCTAGTGTACGACCTCTCTATAGAAATGTTACACGTTCGTATAGTAGTCTACAGATATCATCTATGATAGGATCTTATACGATTTTACGCAAGGATTCTTACGTTTTCCTACAGACATAAGATTGTATAAGATTCCTGTAGAATTCCTCCCAGGATTTTTTGACCTAGGAAGATATCTTCAGAGTTGTCTTAAGTCAATACTAAAAAACATCACACTAAAGTAAATTAAACATTGGCTCAAGCCTGTTCTTAACCTCATGAACTTAAGAATATTAATGAAACAATCCTCCAATCTCTATTTTCACCCTTTAGAAATATATAAAATTAGCTAAAACTTACAGCTCGTTCAAAATTGTCATTAAAACTGATACCAAAATTGCCGTTGTGCGAGAGGTGAGGGATAGTTGTTTAAGAAAGAGTCCCACCTGACTCCCGCAGGATTCCGACAGGACCCTGTCACAAGAGTCCTGTAGGAGTTTTGTCGGGAGTCTCGGCTAGGGCTGCGCATTCATGATAGTTGTGCTGATGTCTACAGCTTTCATTTACATAATGAAAATATGAAAAAGGTTTTCCATTCAAGATTAGTTACAGAAAGTTTCACTAGGATTTTATTCAAGACTCAGAAAGGGTTAAAATGTTGGCTAAAAAGAAAAAGAGTGAAGAGATCGGTCTATGTTGTTCTGCTCGATTATTTGCCCATCGGTGACCAGTCTCTACATGCTGTACTACTGACATCTGCTTATTTACTCACTACAGAGGTTTAAAGTTCATTTTCATTCGTTTCCTACAATAGCAAGCAGCTGATCTGATCTCACATGTATAATAAGTTTCTCTCTTTCAATCACTTTAACTCAAAGCCTAAATTTTTGTCAATAAATTTCTAATTTATATAAAATAAATCGAACTATCAAGATGACTGATGTTAGTTGGGACGAAATTCGTAAACTTCGAGCCGATTTTCTCAGTTTACAATTAACAGAAAGCAGTAATAAGTACGAAAGACAAATCACAGCAAATAATATAGAGAAAATCTTTCATTAAATTTTTATATCTTGATTTTAGGTTATCCGAAAGAAATTGTGTTGAATTAATTAATTTATTAATTAATCAAGGACTTATCAATGTTCTATTCACGACAGATGGAAAAGATATTATTACTGAACAACGACTTGTACGTGAAATACTTGATGAAATTTATGTAAATGGTGGTAAATAAACTAACTAACAAATGAGAAATATATGTTGATGTATTAAATTTCAAGTTGTTTAGGTCGAATAAATAGTGTTGAACTAGCTAAACGTTTAAATATCGATTTGACATATATTGAAAATAAAGTTAGTGATGTTTGTAAAGAAGATCCATCACTTCATTTCATTTTGGGACAATTTATATCAGTGTAAGTTGATGATAACATCTTGATTAGATGACGATTAAATATTGTTGCTTTTCTAGTGATTATATTACCAGAATAGCAGAAGAAATTAATGATATGTTGATTGAACGAGGTTTAATACCAATGAATGAAGTAATTCGTCAATATGATTTACCAACAGATTATCTTCATCAAATAATAAGTAATCGTGTTGGTACAACAATTGGAGCAAGATTTGAATCCGGTGTATTGTATACAGATCAATTTGTTCGTTTACAACAAAGTATTATAATTGGATGTCTAGAAGGAGCCCTTTTACCTTTGAAATTAAGTGATATTATCAAATATTCAAAGGTGAATGAAAATCTTATTCAAAGTGAGTATTTGTTGATACTTAGATTAGTAATAGAATTGTTTTTATGTCATTCATTGGAGATCTTGTACTTGATTTATTACGTGATGGAAAAATTCAAGGAAATCTTGTGGGCACAACAAAAGATAATTCAATATTTTATCCAAAAGTTTATCTCGATGCTCAATCGAAATACATCAAATCGTTTTTTACACAAAATGGATATGTTGGTAAAATACAAGATCATTTACTCATGATTTGAAAAAATAGGACATTTATTTTTTGTTTTTATTTTTATCTAGAATATTCATTAGTAAAAAATCTTGGTATATCAGATCCAGAGGGTCAAACAAAACTTGTTTTAAAAGATCAACAAAAAAATCTCATTTATCTTCCGTCGGGTTGTGTCGATTTATCATCATATTTACCACAACTAGAAATGAATATAGAACAAGGATTGACAGCCAATGAATATATCGATATTACGGTATATACCTTTTGTACTCACTGAACATTTCTTTTTTTAAAATGTTTTATTTATTTTAGACAATTGTACCGAATAGTTTTACAGATGTTGATATTGAAAAATTATTAAAAGCGGATCCAACACTGTCAAATCAAATTGAATCGTTAGGTGGTCAATCTATTTCAAATACATTTTTAATAAGTCGAACGTTACAAGAAAAAATTGAGAATAAACTGCAAAGTTTAGACGAAAAGTATATTGAAAAGGTATTTTAAAAGTTTAAAAAACGAACATTTTCGAGAAAAACATTTTTTTTCAAGGAACTTGCTCGATGTACAACACAAATGTACACAGCTGTTCTCCAAGGAACAGTTACATTGGCATCAGTCTCAAATCAAAAAGCAACAATAAAAAGTGGAGGAAAAAAAGCAAAAGGAAAAAGTGGTGCAACAACAACAACAGCACCAAAAGCAGATGATAGTAATGTTAATGAAACAATAAGTTATGTTAATAAAGATGACATTATTAAACAGATAAAAATGATTAATGACGAATTACCGGATGAAATAGTCGATATACTTGCGGATAACGCTTACACGTATAAAAATAAAATAAACAACAGTCAATATTGCACAATAATGATTTTTTTATTTGTCATAGGTCACATAGCCGACGTTTTGTTGAGTTATTTATACAACGTGTTAAAGAAAGCTTTGCATTGAAGGAAGAAGCTACTGGTGGTAGTGATGGAAATGAATTGGCAAAAAAGAAGAGTGGAAAAGCTGAATTGAAAAATCTGCCAGATTGTTTAAAAATTCTGTATAATAATATTTGTTTATTTATACGTGCAATTGAATTTTTAAATGAAAATGAACAGGCACTATGTAAGTGAGATGATCTTGATGCTCATCTAATGGAAATAGATAATATTTTCTCCTTTCTACTTAGCTGATTTGTTACAGCGTCATTTAATTCGAACTCTATGTACAGAAGTATGTGACTTATTGGTTCATGAAGTGAAAAAAGATGATGGCAAATCACAATTAACCAGCCAAGTAAGAAAAACAGTACAGAGGTCAAATAAAGAAATATTTTTGTTAGGATCCTACTCCCAAGCATTATTTTTTGTAGTCTGTAATAGATTTGACTACGAATAAATTGTTTTACATTAATTTTTAGGAGCGCACAAAAATTATTCAGTCGATGTCTGAACCAAATCGAACGTGCCTTCGGAACTTGAATGAATCATTAAATGGAAAGGTACAAAATGATAATCAACGTGATATTATATTTCTATGTAGACCCTTCTTATACAAAACAAAACGTGTCTCTTATTTTAGAATATTGAAGCAACGTTCGCTCAAATCGAAGACGCTGTGGATCAAATTCTTCAATTACCGCTGAAAAAACCAAACAAAAAACTGGAAAAGTAAAAAAAAGAACTAATTGTCCGACATTTCTTAACTATTGGGCATTGTTTAGGGAACTTTTGTTAGCTCATCGTCAAGAATTGAGAGTGTTATTAGAAAATGAAAATGATTCAGCCACAATTCTTCATTTAACCACCACACTCTTATTTTATGCTGTTCATGGTCTCATTATTCATGCTCCTGGCAAAGCCGTACCAATGTTAATTAAGCATCTGTCAAAAGGACTTCCATCCAGTATAAATCGTCGTCTAACTGACTTTCAAGGTAATCTAATATTGTTTTTTTAACATTGTTTTTATCCTGATTGATTTTTTTTATGTTTCAGAGTTTGTTATTCAACAATCAAGTCATCGATCAAAAGAAGGTGAAATGAATGAAACAACCATGCCACAACCAGATACCGATACAGTTAATTTTATTAAAAAATTGGGTATGGATGCAAAAGAAAATATGATTTTTGATGAAGAAAAACGTTTACAGTCACAGTGATTTTATGTTCTATTTTCAATTTATAAATTAATATAAGAAAATCAAATTAATTGCACTCTTGCATACAGATAATTGACATACATGGTTATTGACTTGCACAGTTTGTTTTTTTCAAATATGCGGAATGTTTAAGTCGGGTATGAGTGCAGTTTCTTTACAGATGGATAACGATATTTGAATATCTGGCTATTTAAAACGAATAGATATTGATAGTACTGATGTAAATATGAAAAGTTTGACTAAACTGCATAATGACCATTTAACATTTAAAACAATTAAAATATTTGATTTGCTCAGTCAAAAGGACTTGACATTAGATCAATTTTGATTACATATTCAAATGAACAATTTAATAGAATAGTAGGGGTGAAGTTTGTTAATAGGTGATTGATTTATCTGGTACTATCGTATCCTATGTGTGTGCTGGAGATAAAACTGCATCATACCAGACATCATAAATGATGTCTGATTTATTAAATTGTATTTCTATTCTGCGCTGAAAACATCTTTTGCTGATGATTTAACCTTTGTGTTATGACCATCAGTGCATTAGTCTTCAAAAGTTGGTTTATATCACAATTAGGATACGAATGATACGGTATCAATGTTTTTGATCACCAAACATATTCAGATACAAATGATCACCAAAACAAGATACTTTTGATCAACAAATTTTTCAGCATGCATCTCACATTTTTATTTCTCAACCAATGATCCTGTTGGTTTGTTGTACCATTATTAGTATATTTGTGTAAACATTCTGCTGGATTATCAATTTTATTTAATTGTATCAAGTTAGCGATAAAACACGTATTCAACCATTAGGCAAACGAAAAGCAAAAGGGCGTCCCAAAAACGTTAGCGCAGCTTTATTGTTCATTTGGTTAAAATCTCAATGAATATGTTTGTGTTGTACATTATACTTTGTTGAGAAATAAAAATGTGAGATGCATGCTGAAAAATTTGTTGATCAAAAGTATCTTTTTTTT